TCATCCATAATAGCATTTTCAAATTTTGGCATTTAAGCATAATTGTAGTTATTTTCAATAGCATTCAATATCATATTTTCAGCATTTGTACAATAATATTATTGTAGTTAAATCATAAGCAGTCTACTTTCATAAGCAGTCATGTGACAACTAAGTAAGTCACATGAGTAGTTCAAATGCCACAAAGCCATTCAAAATTTAAAAACATAATGAGTACTTTAAATGCATAAGCCATAATTAACCAAGTATGAAAAATTAACTCATCATAAACAGCATAATTAAAAAATTATATTGTAAAAAGCCCAACATTTGTGTAACTCCTTAAACCACCAACAAAGTATATCCAAAAATGATTCCACTGTTCTCAAAGACAACCAAAAGTTGTCACAGCAACATCATTGTGCCACGAATTAACTTCTTTTAAGAACAAATAACTTTTGAATTATTAATTCAAAGGTAACGAATGATCATTCATGCAAAGATTCTAGACCCACAAATTTATATAGTATCTCAGTTGGTTACTAAATAATAGACAACAACTATTCAAAAATCAATGTGGGAAGATATGACCCATGCAAATGGGAGACTAATTCAATTGTTAGATAATGAAAAATATAAGTAATTCCAGGGATGTGTAAATCACCCCAACATTTTTCTTTTAAAAAATCACCCCAACATTATTATATGAATGGCCAACACTTTTCTTTTATTACTTTAATGGGCTAGGAAAAATGCATTTTGCAATATTGAAAACACAATACACTCTAGAACAAAGGCAATGGACTATATTCTAAACATTTTAATCAACCAAAAATCTTAATCCAAAAAAACATAATTGAACAGTCAAAAGCGTTCGAAATCTGTAGGTTCCAAAAGTGTTATCGCGATAACATCACTGAAAGTGAAATTAAAATCAAGACTTAAAAGTGAAAATTCTAATCGTACAGTACTTAATCAAGATATTTCATTGAATGTGCAAGATATTTCAATCTTGCTTAATTAATAAAAAAACAAAGGAAAAGAATGCAGGAAGAATATGAATTATAAAAAATCCAAGAAACACAAAATACAGAACAGACTGCACCGAGTTTGCTTTTCACCACCCCCACCATAAAGAAAGTGAATTTTAATTAATTTTATCATAGAGTGGAATGAAAGAAAAAGGAGATTACAAAGAACTTTTGGTTCCAAACAAAAATTAATTTAAGCAAAACAACGCCCTAACATAGCTAGCCAGTAAATAACCACACCATGAAATATTAAAACAAAACCAACCAATTATGCACTTGGTACCACACAACACAAACATGAATATAAGATACTCTTACATATTTCTGATAATAAAAGTGTTAACTTAGTTTTAAAGGAATAATTTCTTCCACGTGCCAAGAACAAATGCTAAATTTGGGGAAGGCATTTTCAAGTCTGCGTGTTGCTGTGAAGACCAGATGGAGAAGAGGGAGAATAAAATAAATAAAAGACACAATCATATCCAAACCATTAAAACACCATTGTCTCTTTCTCACAGTCTGCCAAGATATGTTCTACCCAAAGCATGTTCCAATGGAAAAGAAAAATATTTTTTCAAAGCATGTTCCAATGGAAAAGAAAAATATGTTTTCATACAAAAGCCTTGATGGTGGTGGTGGTGGTGGTGGTTGGGGGGGGGTAGTTGTGGTGGTGGGGTGACGGTGATGGTGGTAATGGTGATGTGGGTGGTGGTGCAATTCCAAACACTATTTTTTTTAAAAATATTTATGAAAAGTTGTAAGTCTTAAAAGTACTTTTAAAAAGTCATTTCAAATGTACTTTTAAGGACCTAATTTAAAAACCAACAATTGAACACTAAATTCATCTAAACCAACTAAATAATTTAAAAAATAGCAATGAGGGATGTTGCATATTGGCCAACGAAATTCGTCTAAACCAACAGAAGCATCTTACTACAACATGAATAATCTTAGATTCATTGTAAGGATGCTGCATCTGTTGGCAATAGATTGGCCAAGGAGGCTAATGAAATCATTCATTGCTAACCCTTATTAGATAGGGCATTTAATTGAAGTACCTATGCTGGATGATATACTTTAAATTATCAGATAACATTCTATGGTAATATGATCGCTAGCTGTTGCTTCCTAAATCGGTTAGCAAACTAAAGAACTTTAGTAATTATTGCATAAGCAAGCATGTGGTCAAAGCATGTTCCAATGGAAAAGAAAAATATTTTTTCATACAAAAGCCTTGATGGTGGTGGTGGTGGTGGTTGGGGGGGTAGTTGTGGTGGTGGGGTGACGGTGATGGTGGTAATGGTGATGTGGGTGGTGGTGCAATTCCAAACACTATTTTTTAAAAAAATATTTATGAAAAGTTGTAAGTCTTAAAAGTACTTTTAAAAAGTCATTTCAAATGTACTTTTAAGGACCTATTTTTCATATTAAATTTGGAAGGTTAATATTATCTTTAAAATAAAATTTAAAGCGATCTCAACCGTGAATAACATAATTTATTTTGTTTATCTTTTGAAATTTGAATTGTATTGTATTTTATTATATAGACTAAGAATAACTCATGCCTGAAGGCACGGTACAACTGAAAAAAATCAAACATTAAATTTGAACACCTGTTTTTAACCTCCCAACCCTCTAACCCAAAATCGCAATATAATCATAAACATGTTACCACCACCACCATTCCTAAAATGAACATCTATAAAGGCTTCAAGCCTTGATGCCAAGGGTGTAGTTTCGCAAACCAACTTTAATAAATATAAAGAACCCGAAATGATCTATTACTGTTAATTACACTCATATATACAACACCAATAAATCCCAGGTCATTTGTAAGTGTCTCAAACTTTGATCTTACAAATGTGTGAGTGAAGTGAATGCAAAAAGAAACATTGGCAATCATACTAATATATCTATGTTAGTAATTAATATGATTTACGTTTTTTTAGATAGAAGGCACTATGTAACAAACAAAAAAAGTCAATTAAAAGGCATACCAATTAGAAGATCACTACAAAAGCAACATATAAAGCATATAAGTGCGGATAGAAAATATATTTGAACCGAACACCTATTCCACAATATAAAAACACTATTGAAAAATCTAATTGAATCTTTAAATGTTTCAACATGTACAATTAGAAAAATTAGAACACCTTGGTGGTGAGAGACAAAGAGAGTTGAAAGAAAAAAAAATAAACACTACATTAGAAGCGTTCAATTTGACTTCATTCTACCAATAAGCCAAAGTTTTCGGCTTAAAGAAATTGTGAGTGATTCAATATTGCATTGTCAACCATTTGCCATAGGAATTAAATATTCCATTATCTGCTAACAAAAAGAGAGTATAAACATCAACAAATTCTTATGTGTATGCATAGATTCCACCCAAAAATAGATTCATTGATTTTTTTTACTCTAGCAAGCAAACATAGATTCCACCCAAAAAAACAAAGATTGGTCAGCATATCTATATAATAAACCAACATATTTTAATCCCAAATAGGCTTATATTCAAAACTTCCATAGTAATAAAATAGACTTCTGACCACTTACTACTAAAAAATTTACGATAGTACAATAAACAAAATTAAAACTCATATTTTGTTAGAGGTACACCCAAGAAACCTGTTTAATTGAATGAAAACAATGTTGCAAATAATCTAGACCCATGTGAAATTCTCAATCTTAAACTGCAAGATGAAATTTTCTCTCAAACTTCTATGGTTCTCCATCTAATACCATTGGGTTGAGGTCTTGATTCTATGCCACCATGCAATAAATCACTAACAAACCAGTACTAAACCCAACTAAATAATTTAAAAACCACCAATTGAACACTAAATTCATATAAACCAACTAAATAATTTAAAAAATAGCAATGAGGGATGCTGCCCAAACTTCGCAAAATCAAAATAGCAATTAGGATGTCGGGGCTGTCATTTCAAACTTCAAGGAATTTAGTATAGCAGATTTGATTTGCAAAACCTGGAATAATAGATCAAAAAGTGAAAAGATCACAAAATTCTGTACACACAAAATTATGTACACTTAAAAAAAACATATCAAACCAACACAATACAATAAAGTAAACATTTTTGCAATTGATCGAGTAAATAAGCAAACATTTTTAATGGAATTACGCAGTTGAAATACATCAGTTCAGGGAAAAAAAAAAAAAAGATCATCAAAAGAATCGCAAAATCTCACAAAAGATTAACCCATTTCCAACCCGAATCAGTTGAGATTATTCATTCCAAAAAATATTTAAATCTACATTTGCTGTAAATTTGCAACTCGAATTTGCAACTCGAGTTGAGATTAAATTCAAATTTGCAGTTGAGATTATCAGTAGATTTGCAACTCGAATCTACATAAGGAAAGAATCTACATTTGTAACTCGAAGATCACAAAATTCTGTACACACAAAATTATGTACACTTAAAAAAAACATATCAAACCAACACAATACAATAAAGTAAACATTTTTGCAATTGATCGAGTAAATAAGCAAACATTTTTAATGGAATTACACAGTTGAAATACATCAATTCAGGGAAAAAAAAAAAAAAAAAAAACTGTTCAGGAAAAAAAACTGAACAGATGAAAAAAAAACTGAATAGATGTTGAGTAAAAGCAAGCTCTGGTCGACCCAAACAGTAGGGGTTAACAATGACTATCTCAAATAAAGTTGTTTATTAAACTTTTAATAATGTTGCTTGCATTAACTCTTGGGTTAGAAAGAAATGAAATGTCTTAAGTCTCATAAGATCAAACATCTTCCAAGACATTTCATGAATCTCGAATGAAAAATTGTTCATCAAAACTATGAACCAGGACTATATTTTAGTCACTTCCCAGCCCAGAGGAATACATAACTCGGCCATTTAGGAAAGACCTCGAGGAGATGACTAATTATGCATAACCGGGTTTTCTTTGCAAGATTGAGGGCACCAATCACCTGTGAACAAACTTACGATTAGAGTTGGTTTACTGGTGTTTGGTGTCATCATCTTGCACTGTGAATCTATGCCAGTGAAGATCACCTCTCTGAGCTGCTAAATGAAGCTCACTGTCATTGTGCCGACCCGTCACTTGTTTCACATATTTCTTTTTCCCGGATTGATCAATTCGGTTTCCGGAATTTGACAGAACCAAAGCGGGTGCAGGGGCTGAGGATGGTGATGGTGATTGCTCGGCGATAGGGTTTTGGTAAGCTGTTGGAGAGAGCAATCCTTTCTCTAAGTCTCTTTCACCTACTATAACATCATTTACTCATTAATCAATATTTCAAACAAATAATTTCATTTGTTCTGCTTGTTTCAACAGAAAGCAGTTTCTTGAAAAGTTACCAAAAACTATTTATCCATCTAGTAGAGCTTACTGGTAATTTTCCCAGCATTTTTATCCGCCTAGCAGAGCAAAGATTCCACTAATCCAACTATTGAATCAATTGCCCATAAAATCACTATTATAACCGATATTGCAGCTAAGGTCTATAGACTCTATACAAACATAACCCATGAATCTTGTTCGTTCTGTTTGTTTCAACAGAAAATTGTTTCCAGGAAAATTTCAGTTTTTAACTCGTTTTTGAGGGTGCAGTAATCTTTTGGAGCATATATTCTTTTGGAGCAGTCCAACTTGCAGAAAAGTATATTCTTTTCAGCAACAAATCAATTTTTTCTTGAGAACAAAGGTGTGATTTTGGAACTCTAACTTCCTTTACTGGTTTCTAATTCCCGAATAATATACCTGGGCTGAGCTTGGTGAGCCGCTGTGTGCCGCTGTGTTGAACGCCGTTGGTGTCGCTGCTGTGTTGATCGCCATCGCCACTGTGTGCCGCTGCTGAGCCATGGCAGAGGAGTGAGAGGGGTGTGGGTAGAGGGGTAAGGGGTTTGGGTTGCTGTGTGCTGCCGTTGTGTTGAGCCATGAGGCATGGCAGAGGAAATGGGTTGGGATCAACAGAGAGTAGCTGTAGGGGTGGGTTGGTGCGTAGGGGAATGGGTTTGATTTGAGGCAGAGAGTAACTGTAGGGAATGGGTTTGATTGGTGGGTTTGATGTGAGCCTTTGGATTAAGTTAAAAGAATTGAGATGAAATTTAGATCATTTGGATTAAAATTAGAATGAATCTGAACCGTCCTTGTGCTTTTCCAAATGAATTTAAATAAAATTAAATTTTTAAGTGAATAAAGATTCAAAATTGGTTCTATTTTATTATTATAGATTATAGGTTTGACACAAATAAAAGTAATATTCTATAATATTTAATCTTCTTACAAATTTTATATTTTACTCATTTTTGGCTATATATTCCATAATTTTTGAACCAAATAAAGTTCCAACAAATCATATCAATATTCTAAGGAATCAATTTTAGTTTGCTAATTTTAAGAGATTTGGTATAAATATTTTTTTTTGTTTTTGGGTTCTAGTACTCAATTTGTTTGACTCAATTAATTTTTTTTTTCATAAATCATTACAACTGGCTCAATTAAGAATATCCAAAAAATATATAAAACAAATATAACTAAAAAAAACTAATATTCAGGGTGATCTTAGACCCCTCCTCTATATGTCATTGCCAGAGAGAGAGAGAGAATAAATGGTGAAAAGATGAAGGTAAAATTCAATCTGAATAGTTTTCAAAGCGATGTTGGTGGTCATTGGATGAGTTTATTTAAGATCGTCGTATGAACTTATTGAAGTTTTTCCTGTTTTATATTATAGATAAATCCACAAAATATGATAGAATTGACTTAAAAAAAATTAATTTATATACATGTAATCAAAATTGAACATTAATTTATGTACATGTAATCAAAATTGAGTCAAATCTAATATAAATTAAAAGTCTAATTTATCAAAAAACATATCGCCAAATATGCTCTATCAAAAAAAGTTCTACAAATATCATTTATAAAATATATTTTTTTAGTTAGTACAAGTTATTACAAAATTATTAATTTATAAGAATATATTAGCGTTGGATTTTCTTAAGAAATAAAAAAAAAATTAGTCTTGAACTTTTGATTAAAATTAATTATATTCAATATAAATGTGTCAAGTAGTGCCCTTGTTTTTTTTATTTGTTAAATTGATGAGTTTTTTTTAATCAAAATGTTATTAATGTGTTTTATAAAAATTCAAAATGTTACACTACACAAATAATATTAATGACAAATTTGACTCATTTAATTATTATGTTAAAGAAAATCTTGTGTTCTAAGATCAGCCGTAATCGTTGACCAATTGGGGAAAAATATTAAAAAAAAAATGGCAATTTCTTGACCGTTTTATGAATGAATTTGAGATCGTAGAATGTGTCCAAAATCAGCCATAATTGTTGACCAGTTGGGGGGGGGGAATATTAAGGGGGAAAAAAGGTAATTTCTTGACTGTTGGATGAATGAATTTAAGACCGTAAGATGAACTTGTTGAAGCCGCCCTGTTTTATATTATAGATTTGTAGGTCTACATGTGTATGTATTGCATACTAAACATGAGTATGAACCGGATTAAATGTTGCATCCTATCTTTGCAAATAGGGGGTTTGGGTTTGGAAAGGTAAGAAATCAATTAAAACTCCTCCTTAAAATTCATCCAAATAAGTCTTTAATCAATCGGTTTGCATTGGTGCATTTATTAGGGTTAAGGGTAATTTATAATTGGAAAATACTATATAACCCAAATTTACATCTTAAATGAACAGGAATCATTGGATGAGTGGGTTCCATCAACTTTTTTAATTGAGATCCACTGATCCAACCATCGTTATTGATTAGGGATGCACATTTGGGATACAAATTTGGGATATATAACATTACTCTTTATAATTTACGCTCTTAAAATATCCACATAATTTTTATTAAATAGGATTATTTTCACTCCATAAATCTCTATTCCAACCTTATTGAACTATAAATCATAAAACTACTAAATTCACCCATGTTCACCACATTTTGTACCCACCCCATTAACAATAAAATTTATCTCAATCTTCACCTTTAGGTTTATTTCTATACCCATCTCATACAATCTATACACAAATATACTTTTTTATTTTTTGGGATTTGAACCCTTGAACTCAAGAAAGCAAAATCTTCACAAGGCAAGAAGTACCATTTGACCAATTGGATTCTACACTAGGTTTCTTTCATACAAATTCCTTCAATTATTGTCGTCCGATCTTTATATTCTCTGATCTCATTGTTGAAATAATACTCCAATTCCACTATGCGCTTCTCTTTCTTCCTTTTTTATTCGTCGATTGAAGGAATTAATAAAGAAAAAAAAAATCTTCACACTTAATTTCTTCATATATAGAAGGAAATCCCTTGGAGTTTTCGTTCAAGATTGCATCTAAAGCTAAGTTTCTTGAAAAAGAAAAAAAAGATCATTAAGTCTCTCTCTTCAAATCAAACAGTCTATACATAAGTATTTGCTCAGTTTTAATAGATAATCTTGTTAAGTATATTTTGTATAGACTGTGTGAGATGAGGTATAGAAAAAAATCCTAAAAATAAATATTAAGATAAGTTTAGTTATTAATGGGTATAGAATTGAGTGAACTTAGTTATTAGTGGGGTGTATATAGATGAGGTGAATTTATTAGTTTTATGACTTATAATTTAATAGGGTGGGAACTAAGATTTGTAGGGTAGGAATAATTCCACCATTTTCATTTGGCCTATGAAATTTCAATTAATATAATTACATTCTTAAAGTTTTACCTGAATTTCAATTCAGCTGTTTCATAGATCTATTAAGTTGTTCTAACAAATAGATGTCACAAGATTTGTCCAATACTCTTTTACTCAAACTAGATCATGAACACGTGCCTTGCACGTGGACTTTTTGAGCTATAATTTTGTTTTAATTCATATTTTAAATTTTTTTGGGATCAATTAAGATTTTAATTTGAAACAATCAAATAAATACAACATCAACTACATACATATAAATCAAGCAATCTAAATATACCTATTTTAATTTTTTTGTAAATTATAATAGACGTATACTATATTTTTTTAGAATGAATATTAGTTTTTATTTTTTTACTAACTCTTAATGTTTTGATGAATTACTTTCTTGTAAACTTCTACCCTTAAGGTTTAGAACTTTTCACATGAAGCTAATAATTTTGATTAATTTTGTTTGTAATATTATAGTAATGGTAAAAGTATATTTAGTGGTATTCGGGTATATATAACTAAAAAGTATCACTGTCCCTTATTAAATTATGAATAATACTAAAGAGAATTTGTTTGAAGTTATAGTGGTCATCTGGTTATAAACAATTGGTTGAGTAAATTAAAGAAGTTAAGTTGTGGTAAATAAATTAATGTAATACTGAATATTCATAGCATTGTTAACAGATAAAAATAAAATGGATTGTAATATTGGCAATACACATAACTAAAAAAGATGTATTGAAACTAAAACATTAAAGAGAAGAAAATGAAAAGTCAGAATTTTTTAATATTATCTAAGTTATATTAAAATAAATCTATAATATAAAATAGGGCGACTTCAACAAACAAATCTAACAATCACAAATCATTTCATCCAATTGTCACATATCCTCTCATTTTTTCCCAAATTCATCATTTTTCACCTATAATTTTTTTCAAAAATTTGATCAACTCCGTCACTTCACCTGTCAAATGGCCTCAATTGCTTATTTTTTTCGATACAACGGAAAAAATGGCCTCAGTCACTTCACCTGTTGATCGTTTTTTTTTTCCCCTCCCTTCTGTCAGACAAGCCTTCTTCAGAGGCCATCTCTCTCTCTCTCTCTCTCCCTCTATTTCTTCTTACCAGCAACACCATCACTGCCCCAGCGACACCATCAACAACACTATTGTTGCTATCCTCTCCCAAGTATGCCTCATTTTTCTCTCTCTCTTTCTCTCACACCCATCCTACCCCCACCTCTTCTCTGCCCTCTGCTAAACACTCATCACCCACACACAAATCACACACACACACACAAACAAACCCAGACCCATCACACACATGCCTAACATAGACCCACCACACACGCACCTACATAATCTCTTAGGTAGTAAAATTTAATGGATGCTGAGCTGGGTTTACAATGGGTGGCTTTATATATTTTGAGTTCAGTGAATAATAGGTACAAGAGGGGTTGAATATTGGGAACTTATTTTCAATGTAAGACAAGAATCAGATGTCGGTTGATTCAAATAACCAATCAAGTAAGAAAATTAAAAGTTATAATCAAAAGATTATTTAGGAACCTGAATAATCATCCAATTATATTATTTTATGAAATAATGATAATTACCTCAAGCATGGAATAATCAGTTATTTATTCGCGGGGAAATTCAAGCAATCGATGTACATGGCACAACAACTCAAGGATTTTTATAGAGCAAAAACTTTGCTATAAGATCAGAAGTTAAATTAACAAAATATCATAAATCATTAAACTCATAATCAATAACATTACCGAACTTCATTGAGAGGTTCTCCTCTAGCCCTAGCTTTGCCTTTTAGCCAAACATGACAAACTAAAACTAGAAAGAAAAGATGACAAAAAGACAGATTTTGTACCCGCGCCCCAAAAATTTTATGCACGGGATTTAACCTTACAAAACTTCTCTTTGGAAAGGAATTCCTTTCAAGCCAACCTTATATCTTCTACCTATACTTAAGATTTATTTTTAGTATAAATAAGGGTTCTCATCTAGGATTTATGGGATGATTCTTTTCTCATCTTTTCTTTTATAGTTTTAGTTTGTCATGTCTGGCTAAAAGGCTAAGCTAGGGCTAGGGAAGAACCTCTCAATGAAGTACGGTAATGTTATTGATTCTGAGTTTAGTGATTTAT